GTCATTTTTACTCCACACCACATACATCCTTATTTTAAGACTCTATATTCTTTTCATATATTCTATCGGTATCAAATCTAAACTCAGTTTATCAGTCGAGTTACATTAGTATATTTTGCTGACAATAATAATCTTCCTAAAATTCTTCATACAACAAAATTATCTTTTAAAAAAAATTTAAAAAGATTATAACAAATTTAGCGCAAATATAATTTGCAAAATAAATTTTTAAGTAAAGAACAAATTCCATGAAGTTGTTCTAATGCTATCTAAACGAAGTAGGAAACATTATACGAAGGAGAACTATAAGAAAACTGAAAATAATAATTTTATTTCATAGCGAAAATCATACGTTAGATTTTACATTTTACGATTAATTAAAAAATTGTTAGACAATAAAATTGCTAATATAGGAGATAGACGAAAATTCATGTTGTATGTAAGAAAACCGAAGGTTTTATGCAGAAATTTTTATTTTGATTGCTCAGCTTTTATAATCCATTGTTAAGGATCTATCGTAAATTTCGCCTCAACACTGTTAAATTCTAGCAAAATTAAAATTACCTGGTTCGAAGCGATGAAATCAGGATAGTATATGCTCTTCCTGGGCCGCATGTGAATCATATAGGGCCGCAACTGTACCTGCAGATTTACATCCAACACTTTGGCACGCGTCATGGCTTCCGCGAGGTTTACATCTGAAATATCCCATCCATCAATCTCGATGTCATCGGGATTCAGCATAGGTAGCATGCTAGAGATGGGTACATAAATATCTTCCCCTTTGATTCTTCTACCCAATTTCACCGTGGATGCTTGTGTTAGGGAACCATACCTGAATACAATAGAAAAAAACGCACACAATAAAAATGGTACAAAATAATGAGGTCGCATGCCACGAAGAAAATGTACGATAGAAAATGTGCGAAATTTCAAGTTGAAATAGACGTAATAACACAAGCTAAGCTATAATGGTAATAATAAGATATAAATAAATTTCTGGAAGAGACATACCAGTTGGCAGTTTTCAGACCTTCTTTCGTCTCCCACGATAATTTAAGCTTGTTTGCCAATAAAGCTGCTGTTATGGTACTACCGTTGTTACCACCCCAGCCTACCAGCATCAAGCCTAGCTTCGGAACTTTTATCATGGTCCTGATCAGCAATTTTGTCGACATAGGTGTCACCTGCAAGACAAGAAACAAAATCCGTACTCTTGAAAAAATATCCCAAAATTGTTTTGTATTCCTTAAAAAAAGACTAAGTATAACACATTTACATAAAAATAAATATATACAAGACAGTCACACACATTTTTCATAATAATGTAAATTGTAAAGTTACGGTATGAGTACAAATAGGTGTGGACTATCTATATACAGGGTGCCCCAGAATGATGGCCAAATATTTCGTGCGCAGGTAGAGCGGACTAAACTAACAATAAGTCGAAAAATTCTCTACCATTTTGCAATGTTTGCAATAGTTGACAAGATATTAATTACAAAAAATCGCCGTGAATATTAGGTCTCAATAATTTTTTACTTATAATTACATATCAACTTTATAGAAAAACAGCGAGACACAAAAATTGTTAATTTTCTTCTCATAGAGTATTGATTTTGAGTTTTCAGAATTTTTTTAGAATACTTTAGTACCGCATTTTTTTATGTTGGAAAAATATAGTTGTCATTAAGAAAATGCAGTAGACTAAAAAGTTGATAAAATTCTGAATATTGGTATACAAATTTTGAATATTCGGCAATTTTTAGTAATTAACATCTTGTTAACTTGCAAAAATTGTAAAATAGTAAACGATTTTTCGACTCAGTTTAGTCCGCTCTACCTGCGCACAAAATATTTAGCGGTCATTCTGGGACACTCTATATATAAGTATAAGAGAAAATTAGAATATCCATCTCTATAAGATTATTACAACTATATCGTTTACGCAACCTTTTACTTGATACAAAAATATTTAATTTTTAATTAATTTTGGTTGTTAATTTAATTTAATTTTGAGAATAATCAATTTATTCTAACATATACAGAATATATATGACAATGAGGGATCGCAGTTAAAAAAAATTTCGGACAATATACAACAAGTTTTGCATCAAGATATATGTAGAAAGGATTGCATTTACATATATTTCATTTTAAGTATAAAAAGTTCTACATTAGTTTAATTAAGGGGAAAAAAAAGACCTATTACAAACATTATTATTTGACCTCCAATTGAGACAATATTCGGAAAATAAAGAAAATACAATTGAATATACAATTTGAAGAAAGAATTGTACATTGATATTGTGATATAACATATATTGAACATGATTGATCGAAATGGTTGCAGAAATCGCGATTTGTCATTGAAATTGAATCCAATCTAACACAAACAGACTTGTACTTAACTGGAAAATGTATCTACATATGTATCTACGTAATCTTCGAATCAATTAATGTAATACATGTAAACGTATAAAAACATATTACATTAATGTATAAATAAAATCAGCACCGTATAATTATAATATAATTTGTACAGACATATGTATATGTATATGCATAAGTCAATAATATTTTTTTAAACTTTCCAATATCGAAATTATATAGTCAATAATTGCGCTAAAATTGTATGTATATAATATAATAAAGTCTTGAATGATCTAGTCTATCTGCAAATAAAAAATATTTATGTGTGAATAGTAGATAAGATATAATATGTGGTTGTACTGTATATGTGCACGCGAGCTTCCAAGGATCGACGTTATTATGGATGGAGACCTTCTAGAGCGGTCTAGAACAATCTCACTCAACAATGCCGTTTATATGTCAGATACATGTCAAGGTTAATTATATATATTAAGGGATGATATAATACGTTTGCTTTTTCTCAATAACAAAGAATTTCTCAATAATAAAAGAAACAAATAAAATTTTATAATCTATTTTTGTAATATGTAATATATAAATTTTAACTTTAAATAAATTAAATGCATAGGTATGTCAGAAAGAGAAAAAGAAGGATCGAAGTTGTGCAAGTGAAGGTGTACGAGAAACAAGTGCAAAAGGCGAGGTGTAATTTGAAAAAATTTGGCTGAAATAATCGAAGAATTTTGCATTTTGTGTAAGTAATATATATATATATATATATATATATATTACTTACACAAAATGCAAAATTCTTCGATTATTTCAGCCAAATTTTTTCAAATTACACCTCGCCTTTTGCACTTGTTTCTCGTACACCTTCACTTGCACAACTTCGATCCTTCTTTTTCTCTTTCTGACATACCTATGCATTTAACTTATTTAAAGTTAAAATTTATATATTACATATTACAAAAATAGATTATAAAATTTTATTTGTTTCTTTTATTATTGA